TCCTGGCCCCCGTGCCCTCCACAGTGCAGCTCCCTTGGGCGCTTCGCCCTATGGCACCGCTGAGTTCAGCGCTATCACCAGCGCCGCCCCCCCTCTTCCCCCCGCTGGCGGCGCATCCCTCGCCTGCGCCCCCCCCCCCCCCCCCCCTCTCTGAGGCCTGGCGCCGTGCCGGCACGCGCTGCGTGGCCCACAGTGGCTTGTTCCTTTCATGCTCTGCGGGGTTGTCTCTCGGGCGTTGGGTCGCCACGGAGTGGTTCAGCCTTCCGCAGCAGGTGCAGCACCGCCAGGCTCATCCACCAGCTTCCGGCCAGTGCGCTGCCCATGTTCAGCGACAGCTGCTCCCTGACTTGCAGCCGTCGTAGGCGTTCGGAGTCTGGCGCCCCACATGCGACTCACTCCACCAGCCTCTCACTTGCTTCCACTGCAGCAGGACCCCCCTGGCAGGCAGCGCAGACGCCATCACCACCCGACGGCGGCGCTCACCACGCCAGCGGATCATATCACCCCAGGGATCGGCATCGCAGTTGCGCCTTGGGCACAGCCGCATGCCCCCCCTCGGCACTGGGAGGCGGAGTACTGAGGACTGGGCGCTGAGTGGTTCAGCCTGCAACGCCTGTACAGCCGAAAAAGTATCTCCACCAACCGGCCCTCTCCGCTGCCGTTCGGCTTGCGCAGGTCGGCCTGGAGTCTGGCGCCGCCCCGGCGACTCACTCCGTTGCCCTTGCACATTATTCTCGGCCGCCCGTTTACTTCGGTTCACGCTGCTGCGCCTATGTGCGTTGGTTTGTGAATCTAGTTCATTTTGTTCTGTGCATGTGCAACTGCGAGTTTGTCTTGCGGGTGCGAGCTCGTCCGCCGACACTGGCGACTTTGTTCGCAAATTCGCCCCGTTTCGCCACCCGGACGCCGCTTTCGCTTTTTGACCGTTGCCTGGGAGCCGCCGACCAAAAAGTAACCCCACCGGCGACCCTCTTGAGTTCGAGCACGATTGCACCTCTCGGACCCTGTTCCTGGTTGCGCGCCGCCGTCCCGGGTCTGCCCGTATGGTGGCACCGCCTCGCTAGGCCGACGTCTGGTCTGTAGATGCAGAACAGGTCACGACATCTCCTGGCGTCCAGGACCCAATGGACCCGCACGTTTGCATCTGCTACCGTGGCCGCTTGCAGTCAGCTCAGCCAGCTCAGCCTCAGCCAGCTGCCCCTCCGGCGGTAGGTTATGATGCCGGGCTCGGTCGCTGTGCTTCTCAGTTCACGCGTTGCTAATTAGGTCGGCCCGTGGCCCGGACCTTTCGACTCGGCGCCTGCGCTTCCGCTCGCGCCCGCGAGGAAAAAAGTAACCCCACCGGCCCATGTAGGAACGATGCCCGGAGGAGTTGCCTCGAACAAGGAAAGGGGCCGCACACTGGTGGCGGTTCCCAACCCATGGGGCCAGCTCGGCTGTTAGGGCCGGTCTCTCCTGCGGGGCTTGGAAGGGGCCGTTCTGGGGCGAGCTTGGGTGGTATTTGGGCTGTTCTGGGTTCCCTGTAAAACACGAGAATGTTCGGGCGACGAGAACTATGCACATACACCGATCCTGGCCAGGCCCATCCTGGGCACAGGATCGGTGTATATACCCCCCTGGCCAACCCACGAAAGCGTATGTACCGATCCCGGGTTCAGGATGGGCCTGACGAGAATCGGTGTATGTGGGTTCCCACCCACTACTTCTCTTCCGCGTGGGGGAAAAAAGGAAAGGAGGAGGAACGGAGGAAAAAAGGAAGTGGGGGAGGAGAACGGATGGGTGGAGATGGGACGGCCGAGGGGTGGGAAAGCAGGTGGTGTGGAGGGGGGCGGGAGGACGGGACGGGGCCCTCCCTCCCTCCTCTCCCCCTCCGTTGGACATGCTGGCCGGCGGGGGCCCACACCAGCGGGTGTTTGCTATCCGTGCGCTGAAGGCCATGGGGAGCGGCAGGCGCCGTGCCGGCTGGGAGTGACGGGCGCTCACGGACGGGGGCAGTGTCCATTGGGCATCTTGGCTCAAGCAGTGGCGAAGCGTCTTGGCCTGTTGATAGGCCCACCAACGGATGTTCTAAGAACCTTTTGCGGTGTGCACGAGATGGTCTTAGAACGTTTCTGGTTCAGACTGACTTGTGTTAGGGCGTCGGCGTTACAATATTATGGTTTTGTTTTAAGAACGCCTTTGGGCTATAAGAACAAGTCGTGGTAGACCTGGAGGAATGCCGGGACGGTCGATCCCTGCTCAACTGGCGGGGGCCAGGATTCGGGACGATTGTAATCTGCACGAACGAAATGGGTTCTTCGAGACCGACAGACAGGGATAGGCATAGGGAGGGGTGCATCGGCCCCCGATCGCCCACTGATCGCCCACTGATCGCCGATTCCGATTCGATCCGTTTGTCGGAAACCCATTTGGATGCCCGTTGGCCTGCCGATTTGCGATTCGACTTCTCCCGACTCGGCTGTCGATTTCCGCCGATCCGATCCACGTCGATTGCCAATCCAATTAATCGATTCGAGTCTGGGTTCTCTTGACCAGGGCGACAACCAGACACGAACATTTCCATTCCATATTCCTTTTGGCCCAAGAGCCTTTCGGTACAGGCAGAGCTGTGGGAGTGACCAGCGCATGATTATGGTCCGAGGATATTGGTTGTCCTCCTCATCATCAGCAGCATCATCAACATCATCAGTATCACAATCAGCATCATCGTCAGCATCAGCATCAGCACCAGCATCATCGTCGTCAGCATCACCATCATCATCAACATCGTCATCACCATTATTATGAGCACCACCATCACCATACTCATCATCAACATCATCTTTGTTAACATCATGATCATCATCATCATCATCATCATCATCATCAGTATCAGTATCAGTATCAGTATCAGTATCAGTGTCATCATCATCATCGTCATCACCATCATCACCATCATCTTCACCTTTATCATCATTGACATCATCACCATTATCATCAGCATCTCCATCATCACCATCATCCTCATCATCACCATCATCACGAGACCTTGGAACTTCGCGCGGACTCTGGCGACTCACGTTGTGGGATATGTCTGAGCAGATCTTGCCAGCTCGCCCTCGCCCCTCCCCCGGAGGCTCGCCTCACGGCCACGACGGGTCGTAGCCTTACGGCGTGAATGATTAAAGTGGGAGATTGGGATAGCTTCACAATGCCAGAGTGGACGCTTGGTGGTCAGGCGGTGGGACCACGCAGGAGGATGGGGTTTTGGAGTTTACATGTAGGAGAACGCGTCTCCAGCATGGATTGGTCGCTAGATGTTCTGCACAAAGGTTATTGAATCGCTTCGCTCATTCCGCCGGCCCATTTCGCATGACTGAGCCTCTTGGGGCCGCTGGGGGGCTTCTTCAGCGTCGCTTGGGGGCCTCCTGAGGGCCTCTTGGGGGCTTTTGGGGCCTCTCAGGGGCCTCTTGAGGCCTCCTGGGGGCTTCTTAAGGCCGAGGGCTCGAAGTTTTGTTTTGTGTTCCCCCTTTGGGGCATCGCTTGGGGCCCTCTTGGGCCGTCTTGGATGCCTCTGGGGCCGTCTTGGAGCCCTCTTGGGCCATCTTGGGGCCTTCTTGGGGGCTTCTTGGGCCCTCTTGGGGCGATCTTGGGGGCCTCTTGGGCCGTCTTGGGGCGTCGGGAATCCGAAAAGATGGACACGCCACAATCTGCCCAAAACCTAAGGACAAGTAATGAATTTTGCCTCTTGCGGCCCTCTGGGGAGTGCTCTTGGAGGCCTCTTGGGGCGTCTGGGGGCCATCTTGGGCGTCTTGGAATGGTCGTGTGGCATCTCGGAGCACTCTTGAACCATCTTGGATGGCTCTTGGCGGCCTCGTGGCCCTTCTTGGGGCTCTCTGGAGGGCCACGGGGGCGGCGCCCAGGAGGAAAACCATCTCTGACCCGACCCTGCCGGGGATCGCCCGGGGTACTTTTCGTCCGGGGACCCCCAGGGGCCGCCCCGCGCGCGCGAAGTAGAAGTATTATTTAGTAGTTACCGGAGATCTTAGCACGCCTCTGGCCCGTTGGGCCGGCGAATTCCGAAGACTGGCTTCGTGGTTAGGTGACTCAGCCGTAGAAATAAGCCGCGAGCGCTTGTGCTTATAGGAGACGCCTATGGCGATGCATCGCCAGGCCCTGTGTAGCCGAACGTTTGGCCGAAGTCTTGCCAGAGCTGTTGTGGAAACCATGCGAGAAACATTGTGGGGAGACAGAAAAGGGGGAAGGGAGGTGTGGGATGAGGAGGTTGAGGAGGCAGAGGAGGAGCAGGAAGACGTGGCCGCTTGAGGTCCTTTCGAAGCCGACAAAGCTAGGTGGTGCACGTTAGGTGGTGCAATATACGTCGTGAAAGCCATGTGCTGTACTCAAGTCATGTGGTGCAAGCTTTCCACGCGAGGTATACGGAGGAAGCTATGCTTTACAAAGTATGTTTGGAAGCTGTGTGGTGGAAGATGAGCGGTGGAAGTAGTGGTGTGTCAGCTAGGTGGCCAACGCTACATGGTGCAAGCTATGTGGAGCAACACTTGGTGCCGCCCGTGAGGCGCTTGCGGGCGGGCAAAAGGCGAAGCCTCGTCATACACCCACAGCGCACGGGGCGCCCACGAGGCGCCTGCTTGCAGGCAACATACGAAACCTCGGCATATGCCCAGAGCGCACAGGACACCCACGAGGCGCCCACGGGCGTCCACCAACGGAGCACCAGCCGAAGCCTGGCATGCCCATCCAAGTCCGCTGCCATCACGGAAAGAGCTCTCATGTGCACGCGCAGTGAGTCGGCAAATATGGATAGAAGAGGGCGCGATGATCATTGGGGACAAGCGTTGACATTATCAGCATGTGATTGGCCATCCATGTTTGGATAGGGACTTGCCATCGAGGAGACAGGCTCGCCACGCGTCGTGTATTCTTCCCCCGCATCATGCGAATACAGCTCCCCATTGCATCCCAATCGACCAGGATCACGGGGATTGTTGGCCGCCCAGGTGCCTCTTGTTTGTCGTCCACGGCATCGGGCAGTACCACAGGTCTCACGCCCTTCTCCCTCAAGCTCTTCCTCGTCCCATCCCGCCCCTCTCCCTGGCCTGCCTCCCTGCCTCCCCGCCTCCCCCCGCCTACTCTTCCCCCCTCCCCTTCCTCCTCTCCGTCCGCCTCGTCCTCCTCTTCCTGTTCGTAATTCCTCTCCTCCCCCCATCTCCCGCCCTCTTCTGTTCCTTCTGCCCGCCTCCCTCCCTCCCTGCTTCCCTCCCTGCCTCCCTCCGGCTCCTCCTTCCCTCTCCCTCCCTCCCTTCCCCTCCCTTCCGACGCCTCAATGTTGGTAGACGGCGCGCCGCGAGGATCTCGCGCGTTTCGTGACCTTTGGGGCAGGAGAGGGAGCAAGAATAGGATTCTGACAATGAGCGTGGGGAGGGAGATGTGCGGGGCAGGCTATTGCTAGACCCCGAGCTTCTTCGTCCCCAAATCCCTCTCTTTCTCTGCCCTTTTTGTTGTTCTCTTTCTTTCTTTCTTTCTCTCTCTCTCTCTCTCTCTCCCTCTCTCTCGCTCTCTCTCTCTCTCTCTCTCTCTCCCGTTGATGAATTCCTCTCTCTCCCCTCCCCCACTCGCCCCCTCGCGCTCCTCCAGTTCCTCCTCCACCCCCGCTCCCTCCACATGTTCATTGATGACCTCCTCTTGCTCTACCCCCACGAGTGCAAGCGCACGCTCATTCCGGCCCTCAATCATGCGGCTGCCAGCCTTTTGAACGCAATCCAGTACGACTTGGAGTGCGAACTCGCGATCAGCAAGTCAGCGGTGTTGGCCTCGGAACAAGATCTACAACTTAAAGCTCTTGGACTGGATTCTGGATCAGTTCCCCATCAAGCAGCTAATAGAGGAGGTGATTTTTCGAGCAGGTCGCACACGAGGGAAAGGAATCACCAGCATAATGCGAGCAGCCCGACGAGCTGACACAAACACGCTGAAGCTTTACAACACGGGCTTCGGGCAGGCACATTTCTGTGGAGCGGAGGTGGTATGCATAGATGATACAGAACTTAGACAAGACCGTATGCTACTTCTCCAAGTAGCAGGCCCAGGTACGTCTACGAGGTCTAGCATGCTGGTTTTGTGTGTTTTGGGAGATCCCTGCTGGAGACCAGGAGTGGACCCTATCATTATCTGGTCCTTGCTAGTCTGGAGAGCGATGATCGGGCAGCATTCATCAGGCCACGGTCTCCCACAATTACGTGCGCTCGCAGCAGCAGTTCTGGACAACCCTCATTAGTCGTGGCGCGAGTGTCGAGGCCGGTTCGGAGCAGCAATTCTCAGTGTACACCGACTTGGTTGGCGATTTAACTCCCCCTTCAAGCTTATCGATCAGGATCGCAGGAGTCACATCAAGAACCTCGACCTCCCCCGCCTTGCTCCAGGTAGGCGAGAAGCCCGGTTTGACAGGTATCCTAGACACGTCGACAGCCAGGAGCGTTTTGAAAGAGGCAGGACTAACTCAGTCGGAGAAAACCACCGTCCAGACCTTCCTGACCTAGAGCATCCCATACTTGCTTGAGGAAGGCTGGCTACCCCACGGAATCGAATTGCCAATGCGGACATCCCACAGACGATCTCCATCATAGACTCGTGAGTTGCTCTTGTACAGCCCCCTCAGAGATATTTTGTTTGATGAATCTGACGCCCAAGTCCTCAGGGACCAAACAAAGTTTCCACTCCAGGCTGGTTTTCTGGAAGGTTTCGAGTGGTCCACGGGATGTCCCGGGGGCCTGGGTGGCCTTGTCCAGGAATTGAGTGTACCAAGGATAACGTGCGCAACTCTGAGGTTTTAAAGGGTAGAGTGTACACCGGTGGATCCTGACTGAAGCAGGGCCCGCAAGATTTCAACATAGCAGGACATGCAACAGTCACCGTCAATTCCGAAGGTGACATGGTAGCAGCAGTGTACGGCCACGTCGGCCGTGACTTCCCAAGTCCCTCTGCGGAGAACCTTGCTGTGCTTGTTGCTGTCCCTTCCTATTCCCCTCACCCTGTAGACAACATAATCACGGATTCGAGTCATAGATGTGTGTTTGGCGAATTCCACAGCCGCAAACACAAGCACTCAGGAGTTGCCATGTTGGCTAAAGGTTCGGCCGATTGGCATCGAGGAATCACCTTTGATACAATTAAGGCTCATCCGAGCCTAGAAGGTTCCACCCATTACTGTGTGTGGAACCCGTGTAATACCCTCATATATACTCCTTATCCTTACCTCTCCCGCACCTGGCCGTTTGGGCTCAGGTACTGAGTTGGAGCGATCGTACCTTGATCGCTTGGGAGGGAAAGATATCCATTTATCCCTCCATCTCTCTACCAACGGATCAGGGGTTCTGTACTCTTGTACTTCAACCCCATACACAGGTTATCAGCCCTTTAACGCTCACCTTCACCGACTCGCCCGCGGTGACCTTGCATGCGAGCCCAATGGAGCCGCTTCGGCGCATGCGCCGTAAGGGTTCCATTGGGGCTTCGCGTCCAAGCTCTCCCACGGTGCGACGGCTCGGTGACGAGTTGGAGAGCATTAGTGCGGACTGTGTTGGTGTCCCCGATACCCCCCCCAGCTCCCGAGGACCCGAGGCGCGTCTAGCTGCTGAACTTCGCCGCAGCGCCGCCCGCGGGGGGACAGGAGAAGGAGTAGGAACAGGAAGGAAGGAGTTCCACACGCCGACCTTTGATCCTCCCTCCCCTTCCCCGTCGGGAGCAATCCCAACCGCGTCAGGCGAAAGCCTTACCGGTCTCGATACTCCAGGGCGCTTCCGCGCTAACCGCCGATGGACCTCAGGTGCTGGAACCCCCAGCCCTGCGACCGTCCCTGTGGCGGAGCACGTAGCTACCTTCGAGGAACTCAGTAGACCAGTGTCGGCACAGCCACAGACGCGGTACCCCAAGGTATCATCGGATGAGACATCACGCACACATGGTCCGAGTCGCAGCTCGTCCGCGCGCAACCGCCGTGGAGCCCCGGGCCCATACGGCGAGCGCAGGTCGAGCCCGCGCACTGCCTCTCAGAGGCCATGCACTCCCCGCGACAGGGGACACAGGGAAGCTGACGCTCCCCACCTCTCCATCTCAGACGACCAGCCGGCGGAGACGTCCGCCGCAGGTGACATAGCTGAGCTCAGAGACCAGGTTGAAACCTTCGTGTCCAGCCAATACTCTGGACTACTACAGAGCGTTCAGACGAATGCCACGGATACTGCAGCCATACGCCGCGATCTTGACGGCGCCTTAGGGATCATCGATTCCAGGATCGCCGAAGATAGACGCATCATAGGAGAACTGCAGTACCAGGTTGATCGTGAGGTGTCACACTCAGGTGAACGAACGGCGATGGTCGAGAACCTGCGCAACTATCTCGCGCAGATGGAGCAACAACTTGTGATCGTACGCGACACAGGCATTTCTGCGGTCAGGATTTTACACGATGAGATCCACGACCAGCTCCGTAACCGACCAACCCCAACCGAGGCCACAGACCTCGGCGACGTTCAGTCTCAGATCAATGATCTTCGATCTTACCTAGACCACACTACGGCGACGCTTCGTACCGAAGCACACACAAACTCGTCGAACCTGATCGACATGTTGCAGCGTACTGAGAGAGTCATCACTCAAAGGCTTGATGCGACCAACGCTGTCGTGCAGCCACTCGCTAACCGGATCTCTGACATAGAGCAGCGTTTCCCTGGTGTACAGGACGCCCTGGCAGAGTTGCGTGTCGGACGAGCCCAGACTGATCAGCTGGATTCTCCTCCCACGGTTTACGATTTCGCCCGCCTCACTGACAGGTTGCAGGAGGTTGAGAAGGCGGCGGACCACACGCAGTTAGAGCTCTCCCAGGTTATTCATGAAAGAGATACTGAGAAGGTACGTGTTGAGAGTTATCTCGCACGTCTGGAAAGCGAGGTGGAGGCACAAAGCGCCCGTCTCCGAGCATGCGAGCATCGGCTTGATCGGTATTCCCAACGGTCTCGGGATACTGATGAGTATACACGCCAAAAGGTGGGTCAAATACAAGAAGACATGACGAGCTGGACGAATCAGCTGATCGACCACACTAACGACACCAACATTCACCTTCGACCTGCAGCCGACCCGCACAGGCCGACGGCAGTGTCCGCCGAAGCACCACAAGCTTCAGCAGGACAACAACGACGCACATCTCCAGGAGCAGCCTCCGCGGCAGCTTCTGCACAGACACGCCATGTGTCTCCTGTGCGCACAGAACCAACCATCGACGGTGCACCGATACCCTCACAGCCAGCGTCTGCGGTGTCGGTCCATACTACGACGCCTATCAAGGAGTCAGACACCGTCCGTGTACCTGTCTTGCCTAAGATCACGCAGCTGCTGGAGTGGCAGCAAAGAGTGCGGAAGAACTTCGGGGCCGCCTCAGGGCGACCATCCAAAGCATACGCCTTCCTATGCGTGGCAGAACAACCCGAATGCACATTCGAGGATTTACAAGACAGTGGAGACTTTGAGAGCATCGATTGCAAACTCGCAACCGCTCTGAGCGACATCTTATCCTCAGACTTACGCTACCAAATCAGGCTCATCGAGACCAGAGAGCACAACGCAGGACGCATGCTCAAAGGACGCCAGATATATTGGCATATCCTACAGTCCTACAAAGTGACAGACGTCGACGACGACCTGCACGATTTCGAGCGCCTTAAAGAACTGAGGATGAGAGACGAAGGTTTGCAACGTTTCATCACCGAATGGGACGCCTTACTCTTGGAATGCCGAGAAGTACCCGATCCAAAGATATTGGAATCGCTATTCCGCACGCAGATTCGTAGACATGCATGGATGAAACAAGACATGTACGAGTATCAGCGCATGAAGATGAGCGACCCGAATCGTACCTACGGTTGGCTTCGACAGCGTGTCCTGGACGTACTGGAGATTAAACAATTGGAGAAGAATCAAAACAAGCTACGGTACGAACACGAGACACGATCTCAGGTTAACGCGTGCGTTGCATGGAAGAAAG